ATCCCCCCCCCCCCCCCCCCCAACTCGGCTGTTGTTGCAGAAACAAAACCCGTGAAATAAAAGTCAGTACAGAACTTCGGCATTCCACAGCGAGATGCTTGGGAAAGCCGCGAACTCAATCATTACCGGGATACATGGCCACAAGCGCCCCTTTCGGCACGAAGCCTTTGCTAACGAAGACTCCGGTCCCGGCAGAAAGCAGGGAGCTCCGGTCCCGGGTGACGCTGAACCCCAGCGTCCGGAACAGGACCTCCTCCGGGCTGAGCAGCACCTGGCGGCTCCGCGAGCTCCCAGCGCCCGGCTGCAGCGCGGCGCTCCGTAACTGCGCGTACCTCCGCCCGACGGCGGGCAGCAGGGACAGCGCCGGCACGTGCCGGCCGAAGTCGTTTACCAACAGCGCTGTGAATACTTTCAGCAGCGTCTCTAAGACAATTTCATCGGGGACTATTTTGTCCTGGGAGCTTTCAGGAACGTACCGAAGCGTCCTGTAAAGAAACAAAGAACGCGAAAACCTTATGAGACCGCGCTTTGCTTAAAGAGGATAAGAACAGCTGCCCGCACCGTTGCTGTAAACAAACCCCGGCCCCGGGCATCACAGCTTCGGCCGCGCCTCGCCCCGCAGCGGCCCCTCCGCTCGCCCGCCTCACCTGCGCTGGCGGCGGACGTTGAAGGCCAGCCAGGGCACGAAGCGGTACTTATAGGCGTTCCAACGCCGCCGCAGGCCGCGCAGCACCACCATGCCGGCCCCGCGTCTCCCACATCCGCGCTCCGCGGGCGGCGCCCGCGCGTGCGGCGCTGCCAATCAGCGCGCTGCAGCGCGGCGATATTTGCATGCGGAGCTGCTATTGGCGGTGGGGCGGGACGGTCAGCGCGCCGAGCGCGGCCTGGCGCGGAGCGGGACGTGCGCGTGCCGGAAAGCGCGGCGCAGTGCGCGAGGGGGGGCGGGCGGCTGTGCGCGTCTGGCCGCAGGGAGGCGGGGCCGTACGAGAGAGTGCACCGCCAGCAGAAGGGATGAGGTGAGCTGTCCTCAGGGGAACGCGAGTCACGAGAAAAGAACGCCGTGCTCTTTGTCGCCTCGTAAAGGACCAAGGCCTCCCCTAAAACCGCTCTCCGTGCCCGCGTTGCGCCCTGCGGCTCCTCCGGGGCTCTGCGGCTCCGAAGCTGCCCTGCCTCCACCTCCTGCAGCGGCACGCGGGCTCGGCCTCCCTCCTCTCGTTTGGGGTCCGGTGCCCCGAAACCTGACTTCGGGTGCCGCTCCCCTCCTGCAGCTGTAGCCGTGGGCTGCTGGAAGCCAGGCCGAAAGTTACCGGCAAAAAAAGACAGTGTAGATAGATACTGCTTTCTTGAGAAACCCGTCCAGAGAATGCTGACGAGGAGCTGGTGTTGGGAACTGGGCACAGCCGGGACATGCAGCCCCCACGCCCGAGGTCAAGGTGCTGCCAGACCCAGCAAGAGACAGGCTGAGCCCGCTTCCCATCTCAGAACCGTGCATACATAAATACGTCACCTCTTGCTTTACTCCGTGTGGCCTTCAGGTCTGTTGCTGGCTTTGCACATCTCTTTCGAGAGCAGAAACCGCGCGACGGCGTTTCGCGCACCGAAACGAGCCGGCCAAGTGCAGCGAGAGCCGCCCTCGTGCTCTGTGCCGAGCGCTTCTCTGCCATCTTCTGGGCATCCTCGGCAACGACGCTGAAAACAGCTCCATTCGCCCCTGAAATTCAAAGCCGTGCACCTTAATGGGAGAACAGCACATTGACACAGTATGCTGCGGCTCCTAGAAAAGGCAGATCGTCTATTCACTCAGCAAGGAATGCTGCCCGCTGAGCAGGCGGTAAGGGGAGGTGTGTGTGTGCAGAACAGCCCTGCCTACCTGCAGCCATCTGTAAAACAGCAATTCTAGCATTATTCTCAGCAAATAAACCACAACGAGCATAACTTACTGTTTGCTGCTGGAAGAGCTGAATACAGCTTTTGTAAATGAAGACGTTTGCTGGCAGTAAATGGCAACCCCTGCTGAAGTTGTGGCAGCAGGCGATCCCTGCCGCTCCCTGTCCGTGAAAAAGAATGCATTACACTCAAAACTTATCTGTTACTCAACTTCTGTCATATATTTTCTTTCTTGACACATCAGTAAATGCATTTTCCAGCTTTCCAAAACCGTAATTTAACAGAAGACTGCTGCCAGGTTTTATTGGTGATCTGATGCATCATTCTCTACTTACAGGAAACCACACAAGCAATGAGTAAGAGAGAGACTGATCATACTGATCAATTTTAAAAATACCTGAAAAAAAAAAAAAAAAAGGAGAGGCAGCTGAAACAAGCCCCAGCATTGTAATGTAACTTCATACATGCACACCAGCCCATACTCATTCATATGAGTAATTTAATATTAGGGACCTAGCCTTTCCATATCAGGAGATGTGTGTATAAACAGTGAGGTAGACCAGAAACACTTTATTCATATTGGTAAACTCAAATTAGTTAAATTACAGTCAACGAAAGAAAATTTGTTCAAAAACTTTTATTTACTATAAAGACAAGAACACCAAAATAGGTACAAATTATACTATATAAAATTGGTTCAATGGGGTAAAAACTTTTAATTAAAATATCTTGATATATTTAAAATAACAAAGGATACAATGAAGCCAAATTTCTTAACCCAGAGATTTCTGTAAAATTTGCTTGCACAGTAAGGTGCTAATAGAAGTTAGCCCTTAAGCCCTGGAAATCTTAGGAATCAGACACATAGCAAATATAATTTCATTGTGAAAGTGAACTTTGGTAGAAGAAAATCTATAGGACACCTGAGGTAGTAGAAACTGGAATAAACAGCAGTAGACGTTATTTACAACTTAAGTACCAAATAACATTAAGAACACAAAAAATAATTACACAATACAATTTTCAGTCCAGCTTTGATCCAAAGAAAATAAGAATATTACATCACATCTGCATTTTAAAAACACCACAGTTACCAGCAAGCTGAGGGAAACGCAAACAAACTCAAACAAAATGCATTTGGACAGCTAGAGGCAGTTTGAGTTTGAAATGTGGTAGGCATGGTGATCTACAAAGTAATACTGATTAGCTGAGGTTCATCAGTTTATACAGTTTACAGATCTGCCAGAAACAGTATTAATCTGACAACTGATCTTCCAGTACATGAATTGGCAAGAGTGCATCCTTTAAAGCTTGCACGTAAGAAAGACTTGGAAACAATCTTATTAGAATGAGAAATTCTAAAGTGGTCAAAAAAAGTCAAGTACAAAACAGTTAGAGCTACCAAACTTCACATTTCTGTATTATTTTTTTTTTTTTTTAACTCTTCAAAGTCTGCCAATCTTCCAAAACAAAGGAATGTAAAATTTCCAAAAGGAACACAATCACAACTAATGACACTGTTTTTTTTTTTAGTTATTATTATTTAGAATGAGCACTATCATTCCTGTAAACTTATCTTTAAGATGTTTCACTTCCAATTTGTATTGTACATTTTTAAATGTACGATAGCTTATTTAGTTTATCCTGAGTCTTTGAAAAATAACCAATTCTGTTTCAGTCCAACAACTTAACTGGCTTCTGAAGAGTTAAAAGACAAACAGTATTTTTAAAGAATTAAACACAATCAATATTCGATTTAAAAAGATCCCCATCATAAAAAAAGCAAAAGAAAAGCTGCCATTTTCCTTCAGAATTACATGCATCAGAATCTAAAAACCTGCCTTAAAAATAATTTTAAAAATCTGTTTTAAAAACACACCTGCTAAAAACACAAGTTTTGCACTACAGGTGAAGCTTTACTTCACATTTTACTTTATCTTGCTTTTCAAGTCCAAGATCATTTCTTGATAAAATAAATACCTTTCTTAGGGTAATATTTTTTTTTTCCAACATTTTGAAATAAAATTATCACTAACAGCTACAGTAAATAGATGATGTATGGCAGAAGGAAAACAGCAGGTAAAACTTGTTATCATTGAAGAAAGTGACCTCAATGTTGTTACAGAAAGAATGAGATCTAGACAGAGCTGGCACCTGCTCCCACTGAAGTACAGAACATCTGTAAACCTCAATGGAAACTGAGTCTGGCACCTTTGACATAACTTCTGCATAATTTGCCATATGAAAAGGCTCAACGACTTTTCACATGATTCAGAATCTGAATTGTTTCACGCAGAACAATCTTTATTATTTTTTTTATAAGCTATACCGTCAGAGCCTTAAACACTGACTTGAGGATGGCATTTTATTTCAGATTTCCAGCAAATCTGGTTTTAAAACTTGTGTCAGCAAGATGTTCAGTGACAGTTTGCATCTTTCTAAAGACTATTTTAAAATATCCCCATTACCTGAAAGTTAAAAATACAATGAAAACACAAAACTTTAATTTCAAAAGAAATTACACAGCCAGCAGTAAATGCACAGTGAACCACAACTGCCTGCTCTTACTTTAAGGAAGGCTTTTTTTCTTTTTTGAAGTATCCATCAACATTTGGATTTTTTACACAGAGATTTGTATAGTCAAAGAGACAGATACAGAACTCTCTAGTCGCAGAATCCTCTGCTTACATCTACATGATGTGAAGTGGAACAGTGATTGTTATATTAAAATAGATCCTGAGCCCCTCAGCTGCTAATATTGCTGAAAAAGTGCTCCAAATAAAATAAAAATCACTTAAGTTGCTAAATAATCATGCAGATTTAAAGAAAATTGCTTTTGCATTGACATAGAGCCATGTGTTTGAAAAGGCACAGTTTACAAATCTCTGCACAAGTTGTGAAATGTTGCATACTGAGTTTAGGTAAAGATCTCCATTTGTCAATCACATATTTAGGTAGGGTCTTCCACTGGCCTTAAGTCCGTGATGTATCTGTCATCAAGGCCAGCAGAACGATACAAGTTGCTGTGCTTAACTGCACTGAAAGACAGTTATTTTATATACAGTAGCATCTTCTTCGGTGTATCAGCCTTACACATAAGTAGCTACCATGTAGTACGAAAGACTGGGTGTTTCAGCAACTCCCTTGATGGGGGTCTGTCCTGAGGTTGAAGTTCTAAACACCGAAGAGTCACATCTCTCAAGCCAGGAGACAGATGCGAAGGGATTGATGGAGCAGTAGTTGCACTAGCAATCTGGACAGAGAGAAAACTTCTTTAGAAGTCAGTGACTTTTAAGAGCCCCACCTCTACACCCCCAAACAGTAAACAAGCTGATCATTTTCAGCTGTTATTCTACATGCTTTTATCCACTCAGCACAGTTCCCACTTTATAGGATTACATTAATTTCTGCCTCTATAAAATGGGTCAAGTTCCTTTTATGACTCTTTCCCCAAGAGCAAGTGCTTGTCACAGACTGCCTTTCTGCTTGTACTTTTCTCTCATTTGTCTTCTTCTAGCAATGTTCTGCAGCAACCAATTGCAGGGCAGGACATAAGAGGTGGCTCTCAGGCCACAGTTGTGGGCATTCTTTAAGTCTACTCCTTGCCATTGGTGATCTCTGGCATAGCAGAAGCAAGTGAGGAAACAGATTGTCCTTCCAGGTGGTAGCAGAAATGTAGTAAGGACAAAGAGAACATAACTAGCTTAACATATTATGTAATATCGCTCAGTTAAATCTTTCTGAGATGGAAGCAAGTCACTCCCCATCATATTGATTTTTACCTTCTCTAGATCAGACTGAGAAAGATGATGGAGAACACTTGAGTGTCACCATCAGATTCACAGACATCAACTCATTAAGATGATTATCTCTCTTATTTGAATACTACTGTACTAGATCTGCTTCATGCAAACAC